ATATGGTAGTTAAAAGAAATATTTTTTTTTTAAGGACCAAAAGGCTAGGATAAAAAGGAAAGCAAGGAGATGATGTACAAACTCCCAAATGCTCTCTACAAATTAAAACAAGCACCTAGAACTTGGTCCCGGTAAAATTCTTATTGTAAGCATTTATGTTGATGGTCTTTTATTTACTTGGAGACGATGAATAATTATTGAAGTTTAAACGTTCCATGGAGAAAAAGTTTGATATGCCTGACTTAGGTCATATGAGATTTTTTCTCGAAATAGAGGTAATACAAAGATTAGATGGTATTTTTAGATGTCAAAGAAAGTATGTTGCTGAAGTTTTAAATCGATTTGGCATAGAGAATTACAACTCTGTTTGTAATCTCATTATTCCACAATAGAAAATTGGCAAAAATGAAAATGGTGCAAAAGTAGATGTAATTTTGTATAAACAAACTGTCGGAAGTCTGATGTATCTCACACCTACTCATCCTGATCTCATGTTTATTGTAAGTTTGATTAGTTGTTTTATGGCATGTCCAACACAACATTTTGCAGTAGCTAAAAGGGTTTTAAGGTACTTGAAAGGCACGATAGAAAGAAGGAGTTAGTGATTTAATTGGATTTACTGATAGTGGCTACGCGGGAGACATGAAAGATAACAAGAGTACTTCAGGTTATATGTTTATGACGAGTGGAGGAGCAGTAGCTTGGTCTTCTCGTTAACAGCCTATAATCACCTTATTAACCATATAAGCTAAGTTTGTTGCTGCTAGTGTCTGTGCATGTCAAGCTGTTTGGATGTGGAGGATACTAAAAGAGATTGGTCACTCTCAAATAGAAGGAACGCTAATGTGTGATAATACTTCAACTATTAAGCTATCCAAAAGAAGGAACTGTTAATTTATTATTGCAAAAGAAGGAAAGGTAAAAAGGAAATGTTGGTGAGTTAATAAGCCTAACTTATAGATTGCACCATTCATTAATAGTAAAAGTTATTAATCGTGGAGCATTTCTAGGAAAAAGTATTGTGGGTGCATTTATCTTTTAAATAGCCATTAGTGATATCTTTTATTATAAAATTGAAAAGTATTGGGATTGAAGTATCTTCGTATAGAAAAACCCTCCACTCAAATTATCGTATTATTTATTTCGATTATTTTGTTTCAGTGTGTTTCAATTGAGAGTCAAAATCAATAAAATAACTTAGGATTTAAGCATCAATATCAACTCTTGGAGAGGGTGAGTATAGACGGGTCAACGGTCAATTTTAAAAACTTATAATTGTTATTTGATTAAAAGTTTTTGAAAAGTTTTATATAACTATTTATATTTATTATTTAATATCATGGTTAACTTTATTTAGATAATATTAAAATTTATTAAAAAAATCAAAATATTTGAAATAATAAAAATGAGATATTAGAAAATAATAACCCTAAAAAAGAAAAATCATACCATATATTAAAAAAAAAATGAAAAAGTGAGAGACCCAGATGTTTTTCTTTTAGTAGTCTGCTCATTAATCAAAGTACGTGTAATTTTACCGTATTCAACTAAATATCACTTTAATCTTAATACTAATTAAGTATGAGTGTTGAGTAAAACACTACATGAGTGCGAAGTAATGTCTCGTTGATTTCCCGAATCATTCTTTTCCTTTTCTTTTAACTCAATCAAACAAAAGAATAATTTCTTAATAATAAATAACTATTTTGAAATAATGAATAAAACTTTTTACCTCCTAAAATTAATAAATAAAAAGAAAATAAATTAAAATAATACATTATTTAAGGTAAAAAAAATTATTGGGTAGATATGTCAAATCTACCAATTGGACAATAATGACTATTGGTGAACCAAGTTTTTATGCATTCCTCGTGAAACACATGCAAGCAAGGCATTTGCAATAATAATATTGCACCTTCTTCTTTTTCTTTTTCTACTTCTTCCAAGCAAATTACACACCTTTCATCCGTTTCTATCTCCTCGATGCTTACTCTTCTTAACATCTCGATAGCGGTTTTGCTCGTAGGAACCATCGGGTCTTCACTAACGGTCGTGATGGTCTCGCACGATAGGTTGCAACAGTCCACAATTTAAGTAAGATTACAAAAGAAAATTCTTTCCCAAATGTCAAACTCATAGCCTCACTTTTGATTCTGATCCACTTGTTTTTTATCTCATCTATGATTGTCTTATTCCTATATCTTTTGAGTTTTGTTGATAAGAATTGTTGCAAGGTCGCATTACTATGGTTGAAGATTTTGACAGGACGTTGATAAGTCACAAAGGGAATTCTTTGGTATTTATGTAGTCTCACAAACAATAAATCATTATTTTATTCCACTCGAAGGTGATTGGAAATGACTTGGACTTTGAATTCGAGTATGATGTAATCGATGAACGATGGCGTTTGAGGAAGAACTCCTTGGGGTGTCCTTACAGGTGCCTCAACTTTAAATGATATATGAGCAATGGACTATCGTTGAAATAAACGCTCCATCTAATGAGATCTCAATTGAATCTTTGTCCCTTAAAGAAAGCTACAAGTGACAAGGGAATATGTGTATATACAAGAGATTATAAGACATCCCATCAATTAGAAATGGAATTTTGATCGAGAAATAGAAGAAATAAAAGAAAATATTTATATTTTTAAATTTGAATATTTAATGTCAAAAATATAGTATTTAAATTATGTGTTTAATAAATATTTAAGCTTTTGGCCATAAAAATTGAAAAATTTGACTCTATTTAAAAGGTCAAAAATTAATAAATATATAATTATAATTCCAAATTTGATGATCGTCTCTCAGTTTTATTTTTAAAAATTGTTTTCAAAATTTTGGAAATAATATTTTTATATTAAATTTAAATTTTAAAAGAAAATCAAAAAAATATTAATAAATATAGTATTAGAGGTTAAAATTCTAGTATATCACATTGAATGCTTAGAAAATGCATACTAAATAGATGTTGTCTATTACCATTGTAACGATATGGAATTTTTTACTTAATTTAAGGTCGTCACTGTATACATATCATGAACATTGAATGCAGAAATACTTCATTTAAACTTTCATAAATATGACTACTCTATGCATGTTCCATGGTCTCAAGTTGCGATGCCGTCGTCAGCCGTACAAGAATGTCTTGCCTTAACCTGAAACAGAAGTGACTTAAGTATTTAAATAAATATTTAGTGGGTGACCTCACTTTTGGGGCTTTAAATGCAAGAACATGCAAATGCAATGATAGAACCTATCTTTTCAGTCTATTTTCCTTCGGTACTATCGTAACGGGTAATTTGGACGTGTACCATATACTCTACACACAACTCATATGTGTGAGTTTGGACTCACCAGTCAGTTCGCACACCGCTGGGCAAATTTCCTTGTCGTTCGAGCATACTCTAGGATCTACTTAAACTGGACACTGTTAGAACTAGTAACCAGCACGAAAGAATTAGGTTACACATAATGTTTGTTTTCCTTCCTCACAGTCGTAGCATTATGATAAGCATAATGAACGTTTTTCTGCTTGGTTATCATAGCATTATGATAACTATAATGATTGTTTTTTTGCCTCGTAATGTATACATCCGTACTATCGTGAAGGGTAAGGGGTATCCCCCAATGCATGAGCACACAATAATGCATGAGGTCCCAACATTTTTCCATTTTTATTATCATTTAATACAACCTCACTAGTATTCCGTACATATCATATCGTGTCTCATATCATTTCACATATCGTTTATCATATCTTTTATGTATATGCAGGAGTTGTATTTCATGCTAGTTCGTCATTTTGCATGTCAATCACATATCATTCAAATTACATAAATATATCATATCATAACATTCTAGGCTTCCTGACTAAAAAAATTTCATCATGTACCTATCATACCATAACATATCGCATCACAATATATCATATCATAAACATGTCAATTATCACATATCTCGTACCATAACATATTTCATATCATTTTCATATCATATCACAATATCTATATATATCCGTCATTCACATGTCATATCATAATCATATCATATCTTAAACGCTTCGTTGTCATATCGTTCCTTAACTTATCAATAGCCTTAACATTCTTATATCTATCATAATCATATCGTTACATGAATGTACCTTAGCCATATCATTATAGGTTAATGCTACCGTTCTATCAATCTATCATAATCCTTATTTTTAGAGTAATCCTAATGCTATCGTTCTTGTAACACCCCAAGCTCAAATCTTTAGGTGAGGAGACTTGCGAGTTTTCAGAGGAAACGCGGTCAAACTCTCGTCGGAAAACAAAATCGAGAAATTATCCTACTTTTGTAAGAAACTGAATTTTTCTTAGTTTTCGACTTCATTTATTAGATGTTGTGCATATCAAAAAAATAGAATAAAAATATATATAGATAGGTGGACTTGAGATCTTGAATTCTTGTGAAGGAATTGATTTAATTCGAGTTATGGTTTGGAAGATAGAAAAATCCAAAATAAATAGGTTGATATAGAATTTGACCGAAATCTAGAAATTGGATGAACTCAGGCAATCGGCGACAGACACGCGGCCGCCGGAAAGGGAGGACACGTGTTGAGCAATTGGTGGAGAGACGTGTCTGGCACCTCTGTTGACACACGTTCGACGGTTGACCCGAAAACACGACCCGAGCTCCGTGAAGCAACCCGATGACTCGCGGTCCAACCCGAAACCTATTGCCAGTCCCTGTATACGACACGTGTCATGCTCAGAAAATTCGAAGGGGGTAAGTCTACGTCGGCTGGGACTCGAAACACGCCTCTGCCCGCGCATTGCCCGTGTTGACCACGCATAGGCCCTGCGCGTGGGGAAATGTGCAAGCGCATGGGAGTCCCATGTGAGAGCGTGCGGGCGTGTGAGTGCCCTTTTTTCTCTTGTTTTTCGTCCCGATTCCCGTGCTAATCCTATTTTACTATGAACTAGGTCTTTGTATAGATAAATCATAATTTTCAGACTCCATTACGACTGTAATCAAGCTCGGGAAGGCACGCGACATACTTGTAAGTAACCATACTGATTTAGGAATTAATACTCGTAGGGTGCACTTGGTTTTGCATGCATGCTAGAACAAATTACCCATAAATGACTAGATTTAATAATCCTCTGTACTTAGAGAATTAAAATATATATCTATTGGACTTGCTCCCTAGTGAGATTTTGTACTTGTTGTTTGTATGCTTGCTGGACTATCTTACTACTGCTTTTATCTGTTCATACTATGTTGGCAGACGGGAGAATTTGTTTATCTGTGCTCCGGGTGTTGATGGATGTTACCGCCCTGTTGAGCTTGTATGATTGTATGTATTGTTAATCATACAAAAACTCCTCTTGAATAATTGTACGAACTTATGATATGATTGACAAGTTGTAGTGTTGTGATATGCCTAGGGTGAACTCTTGTAGGGATTAAGTTGGGTTTAGTTAGGGGACCATCCTAATGTTACGGTCTATGGTGTCGTGAGTGACGCTTAGAGGGAGAAACCCTTTAACCTTGGACTGTTATAGACTTGGGAGTCTTGGTCGAGTGAATCTAGAAGTCGGGGTCCTTAACTCAATAGTTTTAACTATCCTTGAGATATAGAGAACCACATTGGACCCCGAGGTATAGAGAGATGATCTCTTAGCCGACAGTATCTGGTATAGCGTTCGAGTATGCTCCACTTCCCTTCCTACTCCATTGTGGTACTGTTGAGCTAGGCGTGACGCAAGTTAGGGAAATGTTACTCTTTCCTTCCTACTTCGGTGTGGTACTGTAACGATTCAAAATTTTCTACTTAATTTAAGGTCGCTACTGTATACGTACCATAAACATTGAATGCGGAAGACTTTATTTAAATTCCATAAAACATAACCTTTATCTTAAAACACAGTCATGGACTTGCGTGTTTCGAAAACATCTTTAAAACGACACAACAAACGACTAAATCAAATAAATAAGAGTTTCAGTTAAAAACATCCTATTTTAGCCTAAGCTAAGAAAATAAATACTACTATCATATGCATGTGTCATGGTCTCGAGTTGTGATATCGTCATCAGCCGTACAAGAATGCCTTGCCTTAGCCTGAAAAATGTAGTAGCACATGGCTTGATTATTTAAAGAAATACTCAGTAAGTGACCCCACTATTGAGGTTAAATGCAACAATCACATGTAATGAGATGATGGGACCTATCTTTCATTCCGTTCTTCCTATGGTGTTGTCCAAACGGGTAATTTTGGATGTGTACCATATACTCTACACACAGCCCATACGTACGAGTATGGACTCACCTGCTAGTTCGCACACTGCTAGGCCACTTTTCTTAACCGGTGGGGATACTCTAGGAGCCCCTTAGGTCAGACACCCGCTAGAACTAGTAACTGTCACGGCAGCGCTATGCAAAGCATAACAATAGTTGTCCTGCCATTAGATGTATGCGTTCGTACCCTCGTGATTGGATAGGGGTATCCCCCAAATGCATGAGCACACATAATGCACGAGGTCCCAATACTTTTTCATTTTCATTATCCTTTAATACAACCCCACTAGCATTATGTACATATCATATCATTTTTCATATTGTTTCAGATATCATTCATCATTCATATTATATCGTTTTTCATTCTTCAGTTTTCAAATCATACATAATTCTAACGGGGTTATATTTCATGCCAATTATCGTAATTTCATGTCATTCATATCATGTTGTATACACACAATTTAAGAGACCTAACAGAACGTTCTATGATTTTAACATAACATTTCATCATATACACATCATACCATGACATATTGCATCACAATGTATCATATCATAAACAAGTCATAACGTAAACACTTCGTAGTCATATCGTTTTCTAACTTATCATAGCCTTAACGTTCTTATATCTATCACAGACATATCATTACGTGAACGTACCTTAGTCATATCATCACAAGAACGTAACCTAACGCTATCGTTCTATTAATCCTAACATTATCGTTCTATCAATCTATCATAAGCCTATCCCTTTCTACCCGTAACGTAACCATATTCTTCCATCAATCTCTCTTATCCAAATCACCCAGTATGTAACCTAACCTTAACGCTTCATGAACGTATTTTACTCCTATCGCTACATTTCGTTTTGTGCATCCTTCTCGTATCCTATCTCAAACATATTCTTGAACACATCGTACCATAATTATTATTATACAATTCACATATTATAACATATAAGAAGCATATTGATCCACAAACAATTCACACATATCAATATATATGTCATGTGCAGAACCACGGGGCACATGTCAACATCAAATATAACCATGCTGATAGTAAGGTCACTTACCTGGCTAGCTTAAGTTGTTGTCGCAAATATATCTTTAATGAAAGTTTGATTTAGTCCTTTGAAATCCGTGTCAACCTATGTGAGCACATGACATCAGATTCAAGTTTGAAAGCTACAAAATTACTTCTCTAATTTGCATGGGTCGATTATTAAAAGTCTTGAAATGTTATATGTCTATAGTTATATTTTTATTAAAAATCTTATTTTCCATAGTTACTATTGTATGAAAAAGAGTAGATACACCTATTTAAGTTATTTCTCTGTATTTACTTTCTCTCTGTATTTAGTTTGTGGTTTTTAATTCCTTAATCTTCTCTTTTTTCTTTTATGTGTTTGCCTCTTAATTGTGTTCTAACTTATTCCAAATTTCTTGTGGACCTCTGTTTCCAAATCTCTCTTGTCTTAGTGTTTAAGATTCACAAATTTTCTTGGCCATTCAATTTTTAATCTATGGCTACTAATAAAAATTTAATCTAATATTACTAATCTGACGTGACTTGCTAGAATTCATATAAATGATGTGATTGGCTAGAATTCATATAAATTTTATTTTTTTATTGAATTAACCGATCAACTTGCTTTTCCATCGAACATTTATTTTGGATTTCAATAATTTTCGAAACAAAAAAATTTTGACATATTTCATTTTTTTATGAGAACAAATCCTACTACTTCTGGTCCTGAAGTTTCCACGCTTGAAAAAAACAGCTTGGGACGTATCGCTCAAATCATTGGTCCTGTACTAGATGTAGCTTTTTCCCCCGGGAAAAATGCCTAATATTAACAACCCTTTGATAGTTAAAGATCGAGATACTACCGGTCAAGAAATTAATGTTCAAAACAAATAACTGAAATACATCATCGAAATATTTCAAAACAAATAACTGAAGTAGAAGAACAATTTGAGAGGAGAGAGTTCTTGAATAGAGAAACCTAAACCTCTTATGTTTTTCAATTATGTTTGTACTTGTGAAAATAACATACATATTGAGTATTAAAAGTGGAAAAAGTACAACCAATCTCCTAAACTTTATCATCAAATTAAGAAACTACTCACAAATCTTACTAAGTAAAGACTAATAATTTCCCTAAACCTATTAAAGCCAATAACTTCTAAACAATTATCCTAAAATTAATGTAGGTTAATAACTTCTTTTTCTAAGTGGAACTTATTAACTCACAGTTATAATAATTTTTTTTTAAAACACACCTCTTTATCTTACTGTTTTATTTATCATACTAAAACATTTTACATTGGATTCCTAGTTCTTGCCCAAAAGATCCCTACTACATATTTGACAATGCATGATATATTACTCTACCTAATAAAACTCATGTCTCTAAGGTGCATGGACATCATTCAAAATTATATGCAGACAACAAAATAAAAATAACCACAAAATATGGATACATGCTTCTAAGTAAGACATTAAGGTTGTAAAGGGTGTGTTCAAAGAATTTTTTTGTCGTTATCCACCGTTAGAGGAAGCGTTCTCTTCCTCTTCTACCACATGTGAAAATTTGATGTGACCCATTCTTTAAAAATTTCCTCCAAAAAAAACTTGGAAATACTTCTGCGATCAATCTACTATCTGTCCAACTATTTTTGCTATAAGTCTGCTATCTGTCTACCTACTGCTGTATGTCTGCATGTCTGCTGCAACATTTGATTTATGATGTGTAGCAGCCCCTCTCTTGTCACTCTTGTTGTCTTTTCATTTCAAGCTTACCCGAGAATGCACAATATTATTTTCTATCAATTTCTTTTTTCCATATGGATTTCTTTCTTGGAGGGGTTAGCAAATTTTCTAGGACGAATTTGGATCTCCCCATTCCAAAAATTCTTCTTTGTTGTTCGTGTCATTGCATATTATTGCATGAAAAGGTGTACATGATTTTAAATAAAATAAGACCAAATGCAAATGAAGATGAACAAGAAACTATGTGGCAACCTGCACTACACAAAAATAAGATTTATCATCGATAAACATCCTAATATGCACTAAAACCAATTGGCCTCCCTAATATGCTGAAATTAACAAGATCAAAGTATGATTAATTCTCATACAAAAGTTGACTACATTTCGTTGGGGCATGCAAGTTGTTCACGAGAAAGAGTAAAAATAATGACTAGAAAAAAAATCTATCATTCTAAGGAAAGTAATGCAACTATGTAAGTGCATAAATAAATAAAAAACTAACTTGGTTTCCTTGAGCTTGTTACCTTTTTACCGTTTGTCAGCTCCCTTTTCCTCAATTGTTTTTTTCAGTTATCCATTGTCAAAGAAATAATTTTGTGGGTGGAATTAATATTGTGAAATCTATCCCCTGTATATCAAATAACTCTACTTCTAAGACGTAGTTCAACGGTATGTTCTCAATAAATGACTTTATTGTTGAATTTTTTCTTTCCCATAATTCTAGTGATTAAACATATCTTACGAGTTCATCCAATTCTGCTTGCTGTTTAGTGCAATTATTCCAATTGTTGTCTTCTTCTTGTTGCTGTTTTCAACTATCAGCTACTGGATTCTCTGTCAATTTATAAATTGTTGATCAATCCTCTACTACTGCTGGATATTTTATGTTGTCATTGAAATTAAATTCTATTTGTTGATCATTCATTTTCAACATGTGGACATCTACAATTGTTCTTCTAGTTTTCAAAAATGCTCTCTCCAAGATAATT